ATGCTGATCGCCTGGCAGCTTTTTTCCCTGCTTGTGACATTAACTATGTGAGAGAGACAAACTGCAAGCTCGTAGGCATTGGTGGTTTGAACGTGATCCACATTTTCACTTGCGAAGTCAAGATGGCGTGGTGCGCTTGCAGCGGCCTGGCCGCAGAACTTCTCTCACCTCTGGCTCCAACACCCTGGCAGCATCTCTGAAACTACTAACCTACAACTGCCAGTCTTTGCGAACTGGCAGAGGACATGTCCTCACTGGGGGTCACTGTTGCAGCACTGCAAGGCACACGTTGGAAATCCAGCGACGGAAGAAGTGAATGGCCTGCGCGGGGCTACTCTGGCAAGATTCACTACGACTGTTCTAGCTGGGGCCGCACCTCATCCAACACCATGCTTGGAGCGCAGCTGCTTATTAGTCACCAGCTTCTTCAATATGCCTTTGTTCACACCAGGTTCGACCCTTCCAGGGGGGCTTCTTGGCAGACTTGGCGGCGTTCACGTTGTCAGCAGACGGCGCGGCTTCGACGTGGACGACCTTTTTGTCACTGCGTATGCACCGCAAGAGACCGACGACGTCGCGCTCCGACAGGCTTTTTTTCAGGCATTGCTTGATATGGCGCACGCCGTGCCTGCACGCACTCGTGCCTGGGTCATGGGCGATTTCAACGGGCACGGCGGTCTACAACGCAGCGCGCTAACAGCAACGGCCATTCACTGGCGCAAGCTTGAAAGGCCTCGAGCCTCATACTTGCAAACATTTTTGGGGGCAAGGTCCAACCTGGTGGAGTCCGGACGGTGGTACAGCGCACTGCTTAGATTTTATTGCAATCCCAGCTGAATATCGCTCACGGATTCAACAATGTCGGGTGAACAAGGTTTTGGGGCGCCGGTGGCAGCTCTCTCTGGCGCGTGATCACTGGCCTGTGGAGGTCACTGTCAAATTGCTTCAGCCCTGGACACTGCTTGGCCAACCTCGTCAACCACACCTGACCCAGCTGTGGGAGCAGCCTTTCTTCGTGACGTCCAAGCTGCTTGGGCGCCTTTTGCGAACGACGTCAGCGCAGCCAACTCTTCCACTGAACTTGAGTGTCATTGGGAGAAAGTCAGAGCAGCTATGCACCATGTCGCCCTTGACCATTTTGGCACGCGGCCCACCCAGAAATCTCAAAAACTGCTTCCTCACACTTTTGACTTGCTGAGAGAAAAGCGTGGCCACCAAGCTCTTTTGCTGGCACACTTTTGCATCCTGGCGCGAACAGCGCGCCGCTGGAACGTTGCCTTGGTTTTTTGCTTCCTGCCGCTTTATGGCGCACGCTGCCCCGCCTTGGCAGGGGTGTCAAGGCAGCTGTCGACAGTGCAATTTGGGACAGAAGGCTTGAACTTCGCTTGAATGATGCTCTGGCTGTCACTGATTCCCGTGAAGCATGGTCTGTCAGTAGGCAACTTGCAGGCCATGGCGCAAGCCGTGTCGTGACTCGAACCGCTCCGCCAGCCATATTCATCCCGGCAGGTGAATGGGAACAACACATGCACGAAGTTTGGGAAGCTCAACGACACATTTCCCGTCGTTGAAGTTGATGAGCATTGACTTGGAGCAATTTGGGAGCCATTTCTGAGGGGACGGACTTTTCTGAAAGCAGCTCGAAAACAGAAGCGTTTTCGAGCCACTCCGCCTGGCGCTCTGCCGGCGGAACCGTGGCAGCTGCTCTTTGAGCCTCGTCTGCTGGCACCTTTTTCGTACTCTTGGACACCAGAAGGATTAACAAGATTAACGATGTTTTTTGAAGCTAATTTGGCTACAACGTTTTGGCTGCCCGCTGCCACAAAGCCTGGCGGCGCAGCTGGCCCAGCTGGTCAGCGCATTATCAATTTGACGGCGGCAAGCTCTTCTACAGCGCTTTGTTTTCCTTGGTGCCTGACAGCCCTGCTGACCACCAGTATGGATATGCTCCTCCCAGGTCTAGACGAGATGCCATTCTACAGGTTGAAGCTTGGTTGGACCGATTGCGCAATAACAAAGTTGCTTCCGCCACCACTTTGTTTGACCTGACGAAGGCGTTTGACACCCTCAACCAGACCAACTCCATCAGGAGCTGCAACTGCCCACCTGCTGCGGAGAAACTTCTACTTGACCTTCACCAACGCCTCCGAATTCACTTGCAGATGGATCTGGCCTACAAATGAAGCTCGATAGTGGCGTCCTGCAAGGTGGCGGCACTGGCCCCCGCGTTTTTCGCCAAGCATTTGATGAATGCGTCGCTGCCTGGCAGGATGACCCTGCCAACACAGCGCAAGACATTGCTGTCCAATACAACGACCATCAGTATAGGCCTAGTGTTGCAGCGTACGCAGATGACCTCGTGCGTGTTACAACAGGGACCACCCTCCATGACCTTCAATTCTGTACTGAGACACAGCAGAAGGCCCTGCAGGACTTACTTCGACCTCGTGGCCTGTGTCTGAACGAAAATGTGAAACGTTGTTGCATGTCAGTGGGAAAGGCGCTTACACTGCAGCACGCGCGGCTTTTTCTGGAGACTGGACCGGTTTCCCACTGAAACTTACTGTCGTGTATTTGGGGGCACACATACAAGACAATGGCTCTCTCAGCGCGGAGACCACTAAGCACATCTCCTCTGCTAAAGCTGGCTTTGCGAGATTTGCGAAGTTTTTTTAGCGGACGGCGGGTCTCTCTTTGTCAAAGGACTTTGGCTTTTGCTGCGGTTGTCAATGAAGCTTTGCTCGCTGCACTGGAGGTTCGTCCGCTGAGCCAATCCGACACAAACAAATTGGAACAAGCAAGGGGCCTAATCTTGCGCCGTCTTTTCGGCCGTGAAGGATTTGGCGCAGGCGATCCTCAACACCGCTCAGTGACCATCCAAGATTTGAGACGCCGAGCTCGCCTGGCAACCGTCTCTTCAGAGCTGGGAGTTCGTCGTCTGCTTTGGCTTCGAGCTTCTCTGCTTGCAGAAGCACGTGGGCAACAACGCCTCGAACTGGCCACTTTGTTTGGTGACTCCCCCGCCTTAGGCGCTTGTGTTACTGCGGACAGTGGGGTTCCGACAACATTGGGGCCTCGCTTTCTTCACCTCTTGCATCATGATCTTCTTGCTTTAGGGGCTGGCTTCACTGGTTTTTGTGGATCTTGGAAACAAGCTTTCTTGGGCGGGAGCGTCGCTGTCGCCAACATTCGGCACCTTCACAGCCCTGAGACAGAAGCTGCGCCAATAGCGGCGGAACCAGTGCAAGAGCCGCAGCAGCAGGAGTTTGCAGGCTTGGCTGCTGGCATTTTCTGTGCAAGATGCAACGCCGGCCCGTGGAAGAACCGACGTGCTTTGCAGTCGCACCTCACCCACAGACACATGGTCAGGCATGCCGTACAGCAAAATGCGTGTCCGCTTTGCAGTAGACGTTTCACGACCAAAACTGCGGCGCAACGACACTTTGACAAGGCTTCCTGTGGCAGTGTTGCGCGCAACCATGGTCATGCTGGCGCACTTCATGGACAGCATCAAAGCGAAGCTGCTTTGGCTCAAGCTCCGGCTGCTAGACCGGCTATATAGACCAGCAGCTCAAGCCCAGCTTGATCGGTACTTTGCCCGCGAACATGCCCGGCCTGGACTTTTTGCAAGAGGCCAGCCTGCGGCCGTGAGACCTCCCAAGCGGAGCCGTGGTGCCGAGGCTCAGAGAGCCACGGTCTCTCGGGCCGGCCTGGCACACACTGGCAGCAGCTCTGGCCAAGTGGAAACAGCGGAGCGCCGCCAGGCCATTCCGAAATTCAGCAGTCTCCATGATAGCATGAATCGGCTAGTTGACCTTCAGCAGAGTGTCCAGCTTGCTTTCGTCAAGGTCATCAAAGATGGGAGGGCGCTTGTGAAAATCCGGCCTCAGCTGTCGGCGCTTTCTGAGTGGCAAACGAGCTTGTAAAGAAAGACATTGCCCCCCTGCAGGGCCTTTGGCAACATCTCTGGGTGGCAAGCACCTGATGCATGCAAGGCGACCTGCATTTGAGACTCAGAACAGTGCTCTCCCAATGCTCGGGTAGCTTTGATCTCACCAACAGCCCAACCCCGCACCTTCTTCGTGCAAGGTGTGGCGCTGTGCTGGCCTGCGTAGTGGATCAAGGACTCATTGTCAGTGGAAATGGTTGCGCGTACACGCATGGAACATTTTGGGTCGCACCAAATGCAGTGCGTAGCTGTTTGTCTTCGTGGATTGAATCGTTCATGGCGCGGGTTGAAGGGTGCCGTCCAGCAAAGTCCTCTCTGACACGCGTGGGTGTAAGTCTCTCAGAGACAGTTCGGCATCAACACTGAAGTTAGGCTGCGCGCGCCAAAGTAACAGCTTTGGCATCCCTTCAATCACTGCGGCGCGCGTATAGACTGACATGCCGTGTGCAGTCCAAGTGGCGAATGACTGGCAAAGTAATCTGAAACGTGCAATATGTTGCGAAATCAGACCACTGCAGCTAAATGCCTCTTGAAAGCTCAAGCTCTGCGTGTCTCTGGCCAATGAGTGAGTGAGGTTTTTTCCGGATTTGTTGGATTCCATTTGTCTCCCCGCTGCCCTTTTCGCTTCTTGCTTTTCAGGTGACACCTGTGCAGGGATCGAGAGCTGCGCCTTTTTAGAGGGACTTTTTACCTTTTCTGGGCCTAGCCCTTTTGCAGGGGTTGCAGGAATCAGTGTTTTGCTTTTTCGACCGTGAGATTTGTGTGATGAGACCACACGCCATGCTTAATGCCGGCGTGCGCAGCCCCCTTTTTCGGAAGAGGCTGTGGAACACTACAGCGAGGCCTCTGTTTTCTCTTTTCTAAGTAAAGACTCGAGCCGACCGCTTTGAGTGGACGCACGCAAGCAAGCAAAAGCAAGGGCATATGTCTGCACAATGGTGCAAGTCAGCCTTCCCAATGAAGCCTGCAGCCTCTTCAAATAAATTGTTCACTTCATGTAATGGAACCGTTCTGCATCAGTATTGGAGGTGTGGTTTGCCACTTTCATGTCTCAGAATTCAATCTGCATATTCCGGAGCGACGCAGGCATTCTTATATCTTATATATGCATAAATGTTCGGTTTAGTGATACAGTCATGCAAAGTGAAAAGTTCAAGGTGTTTGACAAAACGCAAAAAGCAATCTGCAAACGTGTACCTGCCAAGTCATCCTTGAAAAGTTTGTCTTGTGGAGGCCTCGGCCCAACAAACCCTCCAAAACACGAAGGCTGGCGGCTGGCTGAGGAAACTCCAAAGTCTTTCAGCGATTCAGGCTCTTGCAGCTGCACGACCGATTGATCACATGTCACTCGTGACCACTGAGGTGGTCGTTCCTCCATCCCCCTCAGAACGGCTCAAATGAATGCGACTACGGTAGTCATACATCGTTGCATGTGTTTGCTGAAATGCGGTTGCTTGAGGTAGCAGCACTGATAGGCGCAAGCGGCCAAACGCTTTGGGTGGCCTGTCCTCCAACCAATGAAACTGCGGAGATCAAAATGCCGCTAAGGTTGAGCCATGCCGTATTCACTTTGCAGGCCTCCTCCCCTTTCACCACGATGTACACGCATACATGGTTGGCAGCACCTGTCCGCGGCAATCCCAGCCTCTCTTCCTTAGTCCAGTCATGCAGCAACTTAGAGCAAGCAAGCAAGCAAGCCGCTGTATCAGGCCTTTGGTGTGGTTCTTTCAACCCAGCCATTGTCCTGAGGAGGGTCGGCCGCTCGTCGAGGTCGTTTCCAAAAGGCAAACTTGTTTGTGCCTCCCCAAGGCTAAAGAAGCCTTAGCTCCAAACAAAAGTGGGCCAAACTTGCAAACGAATGGACAGGATGGACGGCGTTCATGCCGAAGAGCTATCGTCAGCCTGAAAGCGCATGATGCCTTCGTCATCAACCTCAACAGCTCAACACGTTTGGCACCATGGTATGTGCAGTTCTGCTATGTGCAAACACACTTGTGATGCACGTCTGCCTAGAGCAGCAGCAAATCATCAAAACACACAAAAAAGTCCATGCGCCTTTGCTGGAAACGACAGCAAGTTCAAGTTGTGTCTGGCCACAGGTGGCGGTTTGTGCAAACCACAAAAATCTTGACATTGACATAGCAACAACCCAAACACCTGTGCTAAACAACCAGTTCCAAGGGAGTTAAGGGAGTGGTAGAATCCGAATGTCCATTGCAGGGTAGTGTTGGCCAGAACACAAGCCAAATGCCAAATATTGTTTTAATTTAAATATATTTTTTTTTTTTTTTCCTCGCTTCGTCGCTTCTCGCTCTGCAATGTGCCGATGCAGTGGCTAAGCGGGTCCAATCGCACCTTCCGTCCCAGTTCAGGGTGCATCCTGAGTTTTTCGGCAAGATTTGAGTGTCAGGAGTATAGCAATAAAGACCGACTGCAGTGACTAGAACTAGTTCAAAAACGTAGCAAGCCACCTCAAGATGCCATCAAAACACCCTGTGACTACTCAGCGACCTTGCACGCAGCTTTGTCAGCTCGTGTCCTGCCACTTGAATCAGTACATTGACATCTTGGCCAGCATACCTTGAATTGAATCAAGACAAAGTCAAGTCAAGTCAACAGCTAGAAAACCAACAGTGAAGCAAGACGTCTTCCAGACATCTTAAGACTAGATGGTTTGTTTGATTTTACCAGAAAGATACCTACAACAATCAGCCACGGGTTCAACAAGAGATGTTTGCATGCTAACTCAGGTGGGCGCATGTCCAAATAGAGGCCGCGATAGAGCTTCACAGTCAGTTGTGCCCTGAAAAACGACGGCGAAGCAACGTGGTACTTCAACCCTGCTGAGGACTTGGCGGAACTCGGTACTTCGTGATCAGGTCCTCCATTGGTGTGCCTTATTGTAGTAGAGATTTTGATTGCTAGACTCAAAAAACAAAGACAAGCTCCAGCAACCTTTGCAGCGGTCGATTATATTGCAAATATTTATACAATTGTGTAGAGCAGGGGTCGAACACCATCCTGAGTAAGCCGCCGTGAGCCCGTTGGGAAAAAGAAAGCAACTCAGCTGGCGGGATACTGCAAGTCACAAGAGCTAACGTCACTTTGACACTGCAATTGAAACTGTTCTAAGTCGAACACCAGTGAACCGTGATAAGTACTTGGAGCTATGCGACCTACCAATTTCGTCCCTTCCAATGCTTCCAGTCAAGAAGCATTCTCAACAAAAAGTCACAGCCTCGTGTCATTTGTTCTTCTGCTCGCGCATAGTTGTACGTGACTGCCCCACCATACAAGTGTCGCCTTGCACGCTGGGAGGAAATCGATGCAAAAACTCTCTAACACAGCAAACCTAAGAGCAGTGCCACTCACACCTTCCAGGAGTGGGAGCATATACAGACGCCTGCCAGTCTTGGGATGAGGACCCGTCAAACATCCTACAAAATCGGTTTGATGGGACAACGGATCATGACAAATGAAAACTATCTTCCGACAACTTGGAAGCAAATATTACCTTGCAATCACCTGGCAGTGGCAATGATGGAGGAACTTTCGCTCAAGGGTCCACTCGATGACTGCGTGTTGGCACTCTCAAATGCAAAGCAGCACTAATCGTAGAACTGCACAAGAGAAGACTCCTCGTTGTCGCGAGCACAACAATGAACGTAACGTAACTGTCACATGAGCACAAGAATGGCCTCCGCCGAGGGTTCATCAACAAGTTTTGGAAGTTCCACCTAAACAAACACCTTCGCCCACACGAAGAAGAAAATATGATGGGTTGTGGCTCGGCTAGTCAGAAGGTTGCCAATTTCTGCAGCACTGATCAAAAATAAGTTGAGGCGCTGACCATTGCAACAAACATCGAAGAACTCAACAGTGCTCAACAGCAAGCCGACACTTCAATAACTTGGGGAGGGGGAGACACTAAAAATAGGAAAGCAATAAGGAAAAAGTCTGGAAGAACAAGCGAGAAAAACAAAGACAATTAGCCCAGCTGGAGACCCCAATAGCAAGATACAAACCGGGACAAAAAGAAAAATCTGGAAACAGCTGCTGTTTTCAACACATCGACCATCTCTTCCTTGGACACCATCATCACATAACCGGGACACCATCACAAAATGACCAGGGCACCATCAAAACATGACCGAGACACCGTCACAACATGATTGGGACACCATCACAACATAACCGGGACACCATCACAAGGTGACCGGGACACCAGCATGACATGACGGGGACACCATCACAACATGACCGGGACACTATCACAACATGACCGGGACACCATCACATGACCCGGACACCATCAAAACATAACCGGCACACCGCCAAAACATGACCAGGACACCATCACAACATGACCGGGACACCATCAAAACATGACTGGGACACCGTCACAACATGACTGGGACACAATCACAACATGACCGGGACACCATCACAAGCTGACCGGGACACCAACATGACATGACGGGAAAACCATCACAAGATGACCAGGATACCATCACAACATGACCGGGACACCGTCACATGACCCGGACACCATCAAAACATAACCGGCACACCGCCAAAACATGACCAGGATACCATCACAACAGGACCGGGACACCATCAAAACATGACCGGGACACCGTCACAACACGACCGGAACACCATCAAAACATGACCGGGACACCATCACAACATGACCGGGACACCATCAAAACATGACCGGGACACCATCAAAACAGGACACCATCACAACATGACTGGGACACAATCAAAACATGATCGGGACACCATCACAACATGACCGCGCCACCATCACATGATCGGGGCACCATCAAAACATGACCGGGACACCGTCACAACACGACTGGGACACCATCAAAACATGACCGGGACACCATCACAACATGACCGGGACACCATCACATGACCGGGACACCATCAAAACACGACCGGACACCATCACAACATGACCGGGACACCATCAAAACATGACCGGGACACCATCAAAACACGACCGGGACACCGTCACAACATGACTGGGACACAATCAAAACATGATCGGGGCATCACAACATGACCGCGCCACCATCACATGATCGGGACACCATCCAAACATGACCGGGACACCGTCACAACACGACCGGGACACCATCAAAA